CAGACACTTACTGGCTCTTTCCTAGGTGAGTCACAACTTCTGTTTGCCTGAGTTTTCTCATCTGTCAAATGAGACTAATAATAGTACCTCTCATCCATGGTTGTTGTGAGGAAAAAAATAAGATATTTTCTAAAGCACTTTGTAAGCCTTAAGCACTATATAATTGCTAGCTATTACTACTACTACTATTATTATTATGAGGAGGAGGAGGAAAAGAAAGAGTAGGTCAGAGATTGCTTGGAAGTGTGGTTAATTTCCTTCCCCTTTCCCTCTTAGGTCCAATAACTTTTTTTTTAAAGTGTGCCTAATGAGTAGCCAAGGAAAGAATTTTTTTAATATACTGCCTTCCCTTTCACCCACAAAGTACTAGTCACTTTGCAAAATATTGTTAACGAACTGATACTGCCACAGTGTCAATTCTTTGGCCATGCCAACCAGTGAAATACATCTGAGTGATAGTAGCGCAACGATGGCTAGAAAGTGGAAGAATGTATTAAAAATCATGCATTTTTTTAGGGGCAGGTAGGTGGTGCAGTGGATAGAGTGCTGGCCCTGGAGTCAGGAGGACCTGAGTTCAAATCCAGTCTCAGACCAGACACTTGACACTTACTAGTTGTGTGACTCTGGGCAAGTCACTTAACCCAGTTGCCTTTAAAAAAAAAAGAATCATGCGTTTTTTTAGGACAGCTTGAAGTTTTGATTTGACTATTGACGCTTTAAATGTGAGATCCTTGTCTAGTCATTACTGAATAATCATACTGTTGGAGGAGATAAATCTTAATAATTTTGACTTTCTACCTATAAAGAAAACCAGAAGAAAGAAGGTTGCAGCTTAAAGGTACTCCTTGGAGAGGCAAAGAAAAGAGCTGATTTTATGCTGTGCTCAAAGGCAACAAGAAGCATTATTTCAAGCAACAGTTCGTCATCCTGTAGTGCGTGGTGATAATAAATATTTTCAAAAATACCATGAAAAAAATTGCAACTCATGCACCAAATTGGTTGTAGAACATTAAGATGGAGAACTTTGTAAGACCCTCCGAATTATATGAGCATTCTCTCTAATACCCGGACTTAAGGAAAGATGTGGGAAATTAAGAGAGCATGGGGAGAAATATATCAGAAAGCATGGGCCAGAAAGAAATGACAAAAGGCCAAAAGCTTGTAGTGTACACAAAAATATGACATCATTACATAATGAATTCTTTTTCTGAAAAAAAAAAAAAATTAGGCAATGTACATGGTAGGCAGTATAATGAAATTGGTTATATTTTAACAGGAAAAAACCCTTATTGTGGAAGTCACCTATGAATTAGCTGTCTGTGTACTGTCAAGCCGCTCATTTGATTAAGATCAGAATTAGTAAACAAAAGACAGAATAATCAGAAAATAGATAAAATTTAACCAATTCTATTGGTAAATCAAGGTCAAGTGATTTTGAAAAATGGATAATGGACAGCAGAAGTGAAAAACGTGACCACAATTGTAATAATTTTATAACATTAAACTAATGTAAACCAATTGCCATATCAAAACCAAAAAGACCTAAAAAACCCTTCGGATGGGAAACACTTCACTTACTTGCCAAGCAGAAAGAGATGCTAACTAAAGGCATTACCACTTTAGAATATGATCTCAATTTTGAGATTTTAGGAAAAAATAAGATGATTCAGTATGAATTATATTACCTCATAAAACAAAGAGAAACAATAGAGGGTAAAGCCAGTTTGCCGAAACACTGGAAAGAGATCCAACTGAGAAAAATCAAGCCAGGGCTTTTTAAGGATGAAAATGGTAAGAACAGCAACAAAAAGAAAAATGGAAAAGATCTACAAAGGTTTTCTTAATGAATTTTTTTAAATCATTAAGGACAATGCAATTAACACAAATGAACTTTAAGTATAATGGTGGATGTGCTTATAGAAGAAGTGGAAATGGCACTGGCAAGAATAAATATTGGAAAACCAACTGGGTTGAACTGAGTGTACACAGGTCCATATTTGTGGCTACAGAAGAGATCTGTAACAATTCTGAGGGTTGTTGAGGGATAATTCGCAAGTTAACCGAAAAATACCAAGGTTTAGAAAACAATTTCAGCTATCTACCTATATTGCTTAGAAAACAATCTCAGCTATCTGCCTATATTGCTACATTGCCATCTGTTTAAAAACTTTATGAGAATTATCTGCAATTGCATTACCTTGATGAGATTATCAGTAGGAAACAAGCAGACTTTTACAAGTAATACAACATTTATCATCTTTCTAAATATGATGTAGAATAGAGGTGTCATGCTTGTACAAAATTCCTGAGTGCAGCCAGAACCAGATTAATTGGGAAATGTTTAACAAAATGACAGTAAATATGACATAGATAACATTAATTTGGTTTTCTAAGTCAATTTGTGGCTTTCTGGGTTCTGTTTCTGTCTGAATTTGACACCACTGACCTGTGGAATATAAGCTCCCACTTTGCTTTCATCATTTAATGAAAAGACATTTGGCTTGGTAGAGCAAAACACTTTAAAAACTCTCTTGTAACAAGTCATATCATTTACATATCAAAATCATTTAAGATTCATTTAAAGATACAAGAGAAATAACTTGTTCAACCATTCTCTGACAAGAAATGTCAGCTGAGGCATAAAGCAAGACAGTGTATGCTTGCCAAATGTTTTTGCCATTGGGATGGAAGAGATCTTTTGCAGTGTGTATATTGAAGGATTCCATGTGGATAGTGAGGTCTTCCAGATGCTCCTGTTTGGAAATGACATTGTGCTGGTTGCATCAAACCCCAGAGGATTATGGGGGATCTGTAACCCTCTAAAAGAGTTTGGTCTGCTCATCCACATAGGAAAGATTAGTGAATGAAGAATATTTATTGCCCAGATTATGACATTCTGTTCAATAGAGCTTGTTTGTCAGTATGTATTATCTGGGACAGACAATTCAAATGGACAGTTAGTTGGGCCAAGAATTAAACAGGAGATGGAGACTGGGCTGGATTACACTGTGACTAGGAAACTGCAAGCTCTTTAGTAAACTTCATCTTCTCCCAGAAACAAAGGCCTCTCTTTTTAAAAAACAATATTCTACTAGTGTATCGTTGCATTAGAAAACAACGGAGAGACATGTACGGAGTGTGTATAGGCTGGAACATATTACCCATGAGCAACTATAAAGACTACCATGAATAAAGATGTCATGAAGTAAAAGTATGATGAGAGAAGATAGGCTTGTCATGTGATGAAGGATGACAAGTAGATAACCCAAGTGCTCCAATGGTATTCTCAGGGTGTCAGGAAAAAGCAAGGAGGGCCCTCAATATATTGAATATACCACTTTTGGTAAACTTTTGTGAAATGGCTAACTGTTGCATAGGTTAGGCAGCTGTGGATGGATTGCAACCTGCATTCTTGGAGGGTACATTCATATTCATGAGATTTCAGGGTTGTCATAGGGAGGAAAGATCGTGGATATATCCCCCTTGATTAATAATTGGTGGGAATTGATAGAATTGGACCATTTACACACTTTGGGAGTCGATTCAGATAAAAATATTTTTGAATGATTTTGAAATGCAGTAGTTTCTTTTGGATGTACACTTTGTTCCCAATCAGTACCCAAAGGTTAAATTTTTTTAACCATTTTTCCTAAGGGTATTCTAGTCCTCAGAAAATTAGCAGTATGCATAGACCTACTTTTTTGATATATATATATCAATCATATATGTGCTCCTGTAAGTGGAATTTTTAAAAATCAGAACCTGTTAATGTAGATCACAATTTCCCAAGTGAAGACTTAAGTATTATTGGATCTTCATTTGACAGTAGTGCCTGACCCTTTAAGCTTCTCTGTGCTATATGCCTCATGGTCAAATTGAAGGAAGTGGAGAACATTGTATTTCAAATTTTTTTTTATTTTAATTAACTTCCTTCTTTTGAGTAGTTGCAAATAATATCACTTTTATAATCTTCCCTTCTTTTTCCTATTTTTTTCCTGTCCTCATCTTTTTCTCTTGTGTTTCTTTCTAAAGTTGAAAGATATTAGTGGCTATGCTTGAAATTGGGAGTTGCGAGAGAGATGGGGAGATTTCTGATTATTTTTTAAATTTAAGTTGCAAGTAAATATTTTTCCTTTTAGTAAACTTGCCATTGAAAGGAAATTCATCATATCTTTTTGTAAGACAAAGAATCCTCCTGCTTTTTTTTTTTTTTACAACTTTGTAAGTCTTGATTTTCATATATTGATTTTTCATTTAAGAAGCATTCAGCATGGCCTAGTGGATAGAGAGCTAGCCTCAGAGCTAGGAAGACCTGGGTTCAAGTCCTGCCTCTAACATATACTGTCAGCGTGACTTTGAATAAGCCCCTAACCTATCAGGACTCCAGGTACATCTCTATGACTATAAATTGGAAAGAAGCTTCATGGTAGAAGAGCATTGCTCATAACATTCTGGGCATTCTTTATAACAATGAATTCAGTGATCCAGTCCTTAACACATAAAAAAAGATGAAGCAAGGATTTTACAAAAGGATGGAAAACTTTGAGGTGTTTGACATGAGGGGGAAATGGTTGTGAAACAGTTATGAACTAGTTAATAAACAATTTTGACAAAAACACTGTGATGCAGAATGAGCTGCTTATGCCTTATTTTTACACCTTAATAAAACTTGGACCAGTCTGTCAAAGAGCCTCAATTCTACCACTAGCTAGTGGGAATGGTATGTAGTTAGTCTCATATTGCTTTTATGTGGCTTTGTCCTTCAGAGGGACGAACAACTCCGGATTCCTAGCACCATAAGGTGTTTGACTATTAACAAATGATTTTGGAATGATAAGACCAAAGGTGTCATCTCCAAAAAATAAGATTTAGGGTCATTTAGTGCAGAAGTGAAAAATAAATGTTTAGAAGGTCCTTTCACATCTTCTTATACTGTTAGATTGTAACTTTAAAAAATTTTAATTATTAGGTTATTTAATTGACTTTTGTGTTTCCAACAGGGCATGGTGCAGATGTGAAATGTGTAGACTGGCATCCAACAAAAGGTTTAGTAGTTTCAGGAAGTAAAGATAGTCAACAGCCAATTAAGTTCTGGGATCCAAAGACTGGGCAGAGCCTGGCAACACTGTAAGTGAGAGGAGCAAAGCACTCTTAATTTATCAGTTTGTTTGTAATGTTTAACTATTTCTTGTTGGCAGATTTTCCTGGAAAGGTAATCATGGCAGTTTAGTGAAATAGGATGCTTTGGGGTTAGTTTGGATAACTGATTTGTTTCATTAGGTTTCTGTATTAAATATTCTCCATCCACCATGTGAAACAAACTTTTGTTCTGTCTTCCACATTTGTTTCAATTTCATTGATGCCAATTAAAGAATAGTATTACCCATGCAGTTCATTGTTTCACTTACCTGTTTATCATTGAACAATGGAAGGTGTAATCATTTACATTAGTTAGCAGAAAAAGCACCACTTTCTCCTTACTGTCCCTTCTGATAAGATGTCATCTTTATATTTGTAGCCCAATTATTATCATGACTGATGAGTATTTCACGAGCTCTTGTTGGAGTTATATGGGCAGATTTGTATTATGGACAGTATCTGCACTATAATAAGAATATGCTATAGGCACTGTTTGATAATATTTCTACAAATAGCTGATGTTTATATGGTACTTTAAATACGTTGTTTCATTTGATACTCACATTTCCATTGTGAGATAGGTATCATAGGTGTTATTATCTTCATGTTACACATGAAGAAATTGGGTTTTGAAGGCTATCACTTGCCCATGGTCACACAGCCAGTAAGAGTCAGTGACAGAATTTGAACTCATGTTTTCCTGATTCCCAGTCCAGTGCTCATTATACTGCTTCCCTTAAAATCTGAATAATAAAGGACTTGAGAGGTTTTATGAGATCAAACCCTATCTATAACAGTATTCTGATAGTCAAAGTGAATTATCTTACATGTCATTTAGATTGGTCTTAAGTGTCCTGTAACCATGTGGTTAAGTTGTCTTATCAAGGCCAGTGTCGCAGAGTAGAGTCAGGAAGTATCTCTCTCCCTTTACAGAGATGGGATTTGGAACATTGCCTGTAGTATTGGACCTGGAGTTGAAAATTCCTTAGTTCAGATCTTGTCTCAGGCATTTATTAGCTATATGACCCTGGGCAAGTCACTTAACTTCTCTAACCCTTAATTTCTTTATCTGTAAATTGGGGATAATAATAGTATCTACTTCACATTTGTGAGGATCAAATGGGATAACATATGTAAAGTACTTTGTAAGCTTTAAAGTATTAGATCAATGTTAGTAGGTATTATTTATTTCTTTGTTCATATGCTCTACAGATCAACTTTTTACCTCAGATTGAAGCTTTTCTGCTCTTTAGCCTTGTTAATACAAAACCTAAGGAGTCACCTTTCTCTGGTGTTTGTCCATTTGACTGTCTTTCCAAAAACAGACTTCTATTACCTGTGGTATCTGGAAGTAAATAATGCTGGAGTTCAAATTCCTATAATAAATGCTCAGTTTATTACTTTTCACCACATGCCCTTCTAATCTTGGTGCTGTTATTTCTGAATTGAAAAGGTAGTTATCTTGTTTTGTTATGTTTTCTTAAATTTCAGGGACTCTGCTAATTTGTTTCATTGGCAATTTGTTTCTAGGCATGCCCATAAAAACACTGTTATGGAAGTTAAATTAAATCTCAATGGCAATTGGCTACTTACAGCATCCCGGGACCACCTCTGTAAACTTTTTGACATTAGAAATCTAAAAGAGGAGCTTCAGGTCTTTAGAGGGCATAAGAAAGAAGCCACAGGTCAGTGACCACATTTGTAATTTTTGATCAAGATGCTATAGATAATCTATAGCATTCTCAACCACCTAACTTGTTGTTTTGATCTCAGTTTAAAGAGACTCCAGCTTTATGCAGTGTATTCTTTGTTATAATTGTTTCTTTTATTTGTATTTTACAGCGGTAGCCTGGCATCCTGTTCATGAAGGTCTTTTTGCTAGTGGAGGATCGGATGGTTCTTTATTGTTCTGGCATGTTGGGTATGTAATATTTCCTGAGAAAATTTATAATTTTGTGAGGATGTTAGAACTAAAATGCAGCCTTCCTACTCTGTGGCTCTGTATTCACTGTCAAATTCTACATCTGTAAATATCAATTTCTAAGCCTAGCCTAGGATAGAAAATTTAAAATCTCTTTTGTTATTAATGTTTGAGAAAAGGATAGAATACATTATTTTTGTGTTAGAGAGATATATTAGCATTATTTCTTAATATCAGGTAAAATTTCAGATTTTTTTTTATTCAGGTATTACTTGTATCTCATTAACACGTACATGGAACTGTCGATAAACCTGGGAGAAAATAGTTTAGCAGAATGTCTGGCACGTAGTATGTGCTCAATAAATGTTGACTATATGCTGAAATAAGCATATTGAAGAACAGTTTAAGAAAATCAAAAGAAAATGTCTGTTTTCAACTTATATGAAAAAAATTTACCTATATAAAATTTTTGTATTGTGGTTTTAGGGTGGAGAAGGAAGTAGGTGGAATGGAGATGGCCCATGAAGGAATGATCTGGAGTTTAGCTTGGCATCCTCTTGGACATATTCTCTGTTCAGGATCAAATGACCATACCAGGTAATTTTAGGTACTAAGAAATTTCAAGGAATAACTTTATCTACATGATGGCAATGAAAATCATATAATTGCATGACTCTCAAGTGTATTTTATACTTTAATACAATATTATGTTTTATAATTATTTTATTCTTTTAAACTGATCTTTTTAACTTTTTAATTGCTGTAAGAGATTGGCTCTTTGGGAGGGGGAAGATGAATGTGTGTACGTTATGTTTCAAGAGTATTAGTGTCATTTTAAACTTTAATCACTTGAAACTTCACTAAGGCTTTTCAAATACCCTGTGTATGGAGAAATGTTGGTAACTTAAACCAAATGGTATTAATAAAAATTAAAAGAAAAAAATAAAATCAGTATAAGACAGGGATAATGTAAATCTTTTTTCTCATATCTATATCTCTAGTTTTTTCACATGTATTTAAAACTGATTTGGACTAAACTAAAAAAAAGACTTTGTATTTACTGTTTGGGTTTTAAAAGGATAATCCCTTATAAGAAAAAAAAGTAGTAAGCGATAGCCTTATATTCAACTTCTTAATACCCAGAAATAGAATTGAAGCCATACTTTTTTTTCCTTTTTCCTTGCATAGCAAATTCTGGACTAGAAATAGGCCTGGAGATAAAATGCGGGATCGTTATAACCTGAACCTACTCCCTGGAATGTCAGAAGATGGAGTAGAGTATGGTGAGTATACTCATTCCTCTTTTTTGTGCAGCTGCAGTTTTTCAAAATAATGTCATGAAGAAACTTGGTGAAAGAAGTGGGTGAGACAGTAAAAATTAGTTTCTGCTCTGTAGTTCCAGAAACCTTTAATTTACCAGTGAGGAAGAAGTATGGTTTATCAATTGGAAATACGCATAGAAATTTACTGAAAGACACTACTCTGATATCTCATCATAATCTTTTATCTTGCTATTACTTCCTCTTCCTCATTCTTCCTAAATCTGTTCTTTATCCTCATTGTGACTTTCAATTCCTGTATCCCCTCAGTACTATATCAGATATCTGATCTGACCCTATTCTTTTTCTATCTTCTCAATTCTTGACTTCTTGGTGAACCAGTTCAATTCTACCCTATCTTCTGCTGTTGAATCCTTTGTTCCCTTTTCTTATCACTGATCATATCTTGTCAAACCTCATCCCTGGATTACTTTCACTATCTCCCTCCTTCATTTTTGCTCACTTGTGGCTGAAAAGAACTGGAGTCAGGCATCTCAACTGGACCTTTAATCCAGCAAAACAATCCTACTTCTCCTCCCTAATTGACTCAGCACTTTGGCTATTCTTCTCAAGTCTCTCATTCTACTTTCTTCTCTGTTTCCCTTTATTCAAGACTTCTTTTCATATGTCGCCAAAAATATACAGGTCATTTTTCAAGAACTCCCTCTTTTCCGCTCTTCATTTCACATTCCTCTGACGTCATTCCCTACTATTTCCTCTTGCACTCTAGTCTCTGATAGTTAGGTCACCTTTCTCCTTGTCAAGGTCAACCCTTTCACATGTGCCTTTAATCTTACCCCTTCCAATTTTCTCTAGTAAATTGCCCCTACCACTTTTTAATCTTCATTCTTTATTTACCTGTTCCTTTCCCACTACCTACAAACATGCCAAAGCCTTCCCCATCATTATAAAACACTCACTAGTTCCAGTCATGCCTGCCAGCTATTGCCCTATTTGTCTCTTCCTCTTCTTAGCTAAACTCCTTGAAAAAGCTGTCTGCACTTGGTAATTCCATTTTCTCTCATCACACACTCTTAATTTCTCTGCAGTCTGGTGTTTGATCTCATCATTCACCTGAAACTGTTCTGTCCAAAGTTGCTAGTGACGTTTTACCTAGCAAATCCAGTGTCCTTTTCTCTATGCTTATTATTGTTGATCTTTTCAGTCTTTTTTGCCGAATTTCCATCTATATCATGTCCCTTAACTATAAGTGTTGCCCAAGATTCTGTCCTGGACCCTCTTCTTTTCTCTCTGTATTCTTTCACTTGGTGATCTTATCAGTTCTTATGTTTTCAACTATCCTCTCTATGCAGATTATTTCTGGATCTGTTTATCCAACACTAACCTCTGTCCTGAGTTCTAGTCCCATATCACTAAATGCCTTTTGGACAACTCAAAGTGGATATCTTCTAGGCATCTTGAACTCAACATGTCCATAATAGAACTAATTTTGCTACACAAATTCTCCCCTCTGAAGTTTCTTATCACTGTTGAGGGAATCTCCATTCCCCGAGTCATCTGGGTTTGCAACCTTAGTGTGATCTTGGATGCCTATATCTTGCTTATTGTAAGCCCACACATCCTAATTTTTGCTAAATCTTTATTGTTTCTACTTTCACAGCATTTTTTTATATGTTCCTCTCTCTCCACTCATAGTAACCATCTGAGTTTAGGTCCTCATACCAACTATTGCCTTAACTATTGCAATGGTTTTTTTGTTTGTTTTTTAGGCAGTTGGAGTTAAGTGATTTGCCCAGGGTCACACAGCTAGTAAGTGTGAAGTGTTTAGTCTGAGGCCAGATTTGAACTCAAGTCTTCCTGACTACAGGACTGGTGCTCTATCCACGGCACCACCTAGCTGCCCCCTGCAATGGTTTTTAAATCAGTTCTTTATATTGAATCTTTCCCCACTCTACTTTTAACATATGTGTGCCCTGCTACATACTCTGTGGTCCATCTATACTCGCCATCTTGCTGTTTCTCACATGAAATACTCCTATTTCCCATTTTTGTGCTTTTGCATGGGCTCTCCCCTCTTCCTGGAATGTTCTTCTTCCTTGCCACTGACTTAGAATTCTTGGCTTTTCTTCCTTTTTTTTTCTTGGCTTTCTTTAAGGCTCAGATCCAACCACCTCCTCTGAGAGCACTTTTCCAGTCTCCACAGTGCTATTTCCTTCAGCTCTAAAACTTCTATCTACTCTGTATTTATGATATATATGTTGATTTATGTTGGTTGTTTCCTCCATTAGAATATAGGTTTCTTCAGAGAAGGGATTTTCTTTTTTCTTTGTATCTGTAGCTCTTAGCCCAGTGTTTGGCATAGTAAATATTTACTAAATCCTTCTTGGATGATTGCTGATTGATTAATAATATATTGTTATCTGCAGATGACCTTGAGCCTAATAGTCTGGCAGTTATTCCTGGGATGGGAATACCGGAGCAGTTAAAACTAGCAATGGAACAAGAGCAAATGGGTAAGACGTGGAAATTATGCCTAGAAAGCTTACTTTTGTTTTTGTCATCGTTTTTTTGGTGAGGTAATTGGGGTTAAGTGACTTGCCCAGAGTTACATAGCTAGTGAGTATTATGTGTCTGAGGGCGGATTTGAACTCAAGTCCTCCTGACTTCAGGGCTGGTGCCCTATCCACTGTACCACCTAGCTGCCTTGAAAGCTTACTTTTGAAACCATTTTGTAGGTATTGGCCCCATCTCTTTGATCTCCTTAAATTATAAATTCATTAAAAATGGTATCTTTAACAGTAGGTCCCCAAAAGTACTGATAAATAATCATCATAATGAACTCTTTTATAAAGGTAGAGAAATGGACAGCTTTTTTTTGTTTATTTTATATATGAGAAGTTCTGAACTTATTATCTTCATGCTTACAGGGAAAGATGAGTCAAATGAAATAGAAATGACCATTCCAGGATTAGACTGGGGAATGGAGGAGGTAATGCAAAAGGACCAAAAGAAGGTGCCACAAAAAAAAGTTCCTTATGCAAAGCCTATTCCAGCTCAGTTCCAACAAGTAAGTATGGGAATATCAATCTTTATTTATAACAAAATCTGTATTCAACGATGAGATACTTTTTTAAAAGTACTATTATTAACAGTTAATCTCTTTGAATTGTATTTGACCTGTTGCCAATAAAAATATTATTTCTCTTATTTTATTTAAGCATTCATTTAAAAATTTTCAGCTTCAAATCCTCTTCCTTGCTCCAACCTTTCCCCCATCCATTGAAAAGGCAAACAATATGATTCCCATTTAACATGTGAAGTCATGCAAAACATTTCTGTATTGGCCATGTTGTCCCCCAAGGTGAAAAAAAAGGAAAGAAAAATAAAATGAAAACAAATATGCTTTACTATACACTCAGTTCATCAGTTCTCTCTCTGGAGGTGGATAGCATTTTTCAACATGAGTCCTTTGGAATTGTCATGGATCATTGTACTAATCAGGGTAGCTAAGTCTTCCACAGTTAATCATTGTTACAGTATTGCTATTGTATACAATGATCTCCTGGTTCTGCTCACTTTACTTTGCATCAGTTCATATAAGTCTTCCCAGGTTTTTCAGACACCATCCTGTTTGTCATTTCTTATAGCGTAATCATATTTCATCACAATCATGTAACACAGTTTGTTCAGCCATTCCCTGATTGATGGGCACCACCTCGAGTTTCAATTGTTTACCACCACAAAAAGAGCTACTCTAAATATTTTTGTACTGCATGTGCATAAAGGGTGTATATGGTCCTTTCCCTTTTTCTTTGATCTTTTTGGGATATAGACTTTAGTAGTGGTATTGCTGGGTCAAAAGGTATGCAAATTATACTATAAAAACAATAATTATCAAAACAATTTGGTATTGGATAAGAAATAGAGTGGTGGGTCAGTGGAATAGATTAGGTATACAATATACAGAAAAAAATGACCACAGTGATCTACTGTTTGATAAATCCAAAGATAAAGCTTTTGGGACAAGAACACACTATTCAATAAAAACTGCTGGGATAACTGGAAAGCAGTCTGGATGAAACTAGGCACACTCCAACATCTCATACCATATATCAAGATAAACTTAAAAATAGGTACATGATTTAACCATAAAGGATGGTTATCATAAACAAATTGAAGGTGCATGGAAAAGAAGGGAAGAATTTATGACCAAATAGGAGATAGTGAAGATCTGGGAGTGGGGGGAGTGGGGGAGGGGAAGAGATGATGAATAATTTTGATCACATTAAATTAAAAGGTTTTTGTACAAGTAAAACCATTGCAGCCAAAATTAGAAGGAGAGCAGGAATGGGGAAAAAATTTGTGTCAGGTTTCTTCAATAAGGGTTTCAATTTCTCAAATATATAAGGAATCAAGCCAAATTTATCAAATAAGAGCAATCCTCAATTGCTTTAAAGGTCAAAGAATACAAACAAGCAGTTTACAGAAGAAATCAAAGCTATCAATAGTCATATTAAAAAATGCTCTAAATCATTATTTATTAGAGAAGTGTGTATTAAAACAACTCTGAGGTACCATCTTATACCTCTATCCTATTTTTCCTATTTATCCTTCTTTCTCTCTTTTTACTCTCTCCCTTCCTCCAAAGTCTGTTTTACTTCTGACCACTGCCTCCCTTTATATGTCCTCCTCCTTATCACCTCCTCCCTCTGCCCCCTGCCCAATTCCCTTTCCCTCCAGCTTTGGATGAGAAGGATTTCTATAAATGTGTGTGTGTGTGTGTGCGCGCGCATGCACACACACACACGCGCACACACACACTATTCTTCCTTCTTTGAACCAGTTCATATGACAGTAAGGTTCAAGCATTGCCCAGTCCCAGTATTTTTCCCTTCATTGTAAAAACCCTTCCTTGTTTGCCTATTCTGTGTGAGATAAATTTCTCCATTCTTTCTCTCCCTTGCTCCTTCTCCCAGTGCATCCCTCTTTCTGACTCCTCCATTTTTCTTTTGAAATCTTTCCAATATGATTAGCTCCCACCTGTGCCTCTATGTAGACTTTGTCTAATAAGCTGTTTTAATGATGATAATCTTCTTGGGGGTTACATGTATGATCTTCCTATGTAGGAATGTACAAAATTTAATCTTAAGTCCTTTATGATTTGTCATTCATGTTTACCTTTTTATGCCTTTCTAGAATTTTGGGTTTGAATGTCAAATTTTCTATTCAGCTTTGGTCTTTTCATCAGGAATGCCTGGAAATCCTTTTCTTTCATTAAATTTTTTGTCCATTTTTCAGGGATTAAACTCAGTTTTGCTGGGTAGGTGAATCTTGGTCGTAATCCTCATTCCTTTGCTTTCAGGAATATCCTGTTCCAAGCCCTCTACTCCTTTATTGTTGTAGCTGCTAAATCTAGTGTAATCCTAATTGTGACTACAATATCTGAATGTTATTTTTTTTTTGTTTGTTTGTTTTTACTACTTGAAGCATTTTCTCCTTGACCTGGGAGCTCTGGAATTTTGTTATAATATTCCTGGGAGTATTCTTTTTGGAATCTCCTTCAGGAGGTAGTGGATTTTTTCATTTTTGGTTTTCTCCTCTAGTTCTCAGCTCGGTATTTTCCCTTTATAATTTTTTGCAATATGATGTCTAGGCTCTTTTTTTGATCATGGCTCCATGTAGTCCAGTGATTCTTAAATTTTCTCTCTTCTATCTGTTTTCCAGGTCAGTTTTTTTTTTCCCAATGAAAATTTCACACTTTCCATTTTTTTTTTATTTGTTTGACTTTGTTTCATTTTTTCTTGATGTCTCATGTAGTCATTAGCTTCCAATTGCCCAGTTCTTATTTTTACTTTCTTTACTGAGTTTTTGCACTTTTTTTTTCCAGTTGGCCAATTCTGTCTTTTAAGGAGTTATTTTCTTCAGTATGGTTTATTTTACCTCTTTTACTATTTGGATAATTCTACTCATTCAGGATTTATTTTCTTCAGTATTTTTTGTGCTTCTCCTACCAAGCTATTAATTCTCTTTTCATATTTTTTTTTGTGTTGCTGTCATTTCTTTTCTCAATTTTTTCTCTACTATTCTAATTCGATTTTTAAAAGTTTTTTTTTTTGCTCTTTTTTTTAAAATCTCTTTAACTCTCTTAGTAATTCTTGTTGAGCTTGTTTCCAATCTGCAATTTTTCTTTGAGGCTTTGCTTATAGATTTTTTTTAAGTCATTGCCTTCTCCTGAATTTTCCTTGAGTTTCCCTATCACCATCAGAGCTTTTTATTATCAGGTTTTTTTTTTGTTGTTGTTTTCTCATTTTTCTAGCCTATTTCTTGAATTTTGACATTATGTTAGAGTTTAACTCTGTACCACTGGAGTACGGGTGAGGGTAGGGTTACTATCCCAAGCTTTAGGCTTTTTTGTCCTACTGTTGTTACAGCTAATTCTGGGGGCCTGTAAACTTTCAGTACTTCCAGTACTTGTGATGTGGGGAGAGGTGTGGTCACTGCTCTCCTGGTCTCCTTTTTGGTCCTTGCCCAGGTAGGGCTTCAGTTTTCTTACATTTATAACTCCTCTCCTCCCTACAACTATGATCTGTACCCAGGTTGGGCCTTTGCTCCCCTGTGACTTCAAGCTTTCCTCTCTCCTCTGGAACTGTGACCTGGAATTGAGTAAAGGGCAATGGAGTTGCCAAATGGCACCTGGTCCTGTGCCCAGTACTAGCACAGGTATCCACTGTGAATCTTTGTTGTCAGATCTTGAGTCTCTTTATTATTTCTGGGCAGTGAGTACTCCTGGTACAGTGTTGCTGTTATACAACATCTAAGGCCCACAGGTGGTGTTGCTACTATACTGTGTTCCTGATTAACCCTCACTGCAGTGCCACAGACCTCTCCTTCTGTTTCAAGTTGTCCTGGGCTGGAAAAATGCACCACCCCAACCTTTTGTTGACTCTGCTGCTTTAGAATTTGATTTGACTTGTTTATTTTAAAGTTTTTTAAAGGGAAATGTTGGGAAAACTTGGATGGAATGCTCCCTTTATTCCACCGTCTTGATTCTTATCTGCCACAAATTCCTTTGGAGAATTCTCATTGTCATTTATGTACATCATCTATCTATGTATTTTGCTTCTGTTTGACCCAAGTTATTCATTACATTTGTGACAAACTCTTAACTCTAGCTGTCATTTATGTTATTGTAGTCATTGTGTATATTATTCTTTTTGTTTTACCTTAATTTAGCATCAGTTTATTCAAGTCTTATCACGTGTTTTGGAATTCTGCATATTTGCTGTTTTTATGACATCATAGTATTCCATTGCATTAATTTTTTGTTTTATTTTAAAGAGTTTTATTAATGTCTTTTGTTTTTGCCTAACATTCATTTCCAGCTATTCTAACCTCCAGGGCACTGTCCCTTCTAACAAAATAAAAACAGAAGTAAAATTAGTTCTGGTTACTTTGCTTCAGTTCAAACAAGCTTTCCTGTTTCTCTGAATTCCTAGTTAATTTTTTCATATAGCTCAGTAATATTAAATTCTTTTCCCATGCCACGTTGAGGGGACCCCATTTTTGTTTCCAGTTTGTTATCCATTATGCTGCTATTTTGTTGTCTATAGTGGTTTTTTTTTTCCTGGAAATTGGCCATAACATTTCACTTCACTTAGTTAACTTTTTTTATTCTCCACTCAAACAGAGATCCAGGCTATACTTCCATATCACTAGGACCTTAACAATAGGGAAACAGCTTAAGCTGACATTATTTATATCCTCCTTATAACTTCTTTAACTTTCCTCCTATACAAAGAATATGAACCTATTAATGACTTATAGATAAACTTTATATAATAGACAATCAAGGGGTTTTTTTTAAGCTTTTAACAGATTATTGGTTTCTAATTACAAATAAACTTATACATATCCTAGGTCACCTAAGGATTAGTATTAAATAAAAGTGTTATACCCTGGTGAACTGAACAAAGTCCAATTCTTCTGAATACATCACTGGCAGTGCAGAATTTTGTTATTAATTGAATACGTATAGCTCATATATATCAGGTTTTGTTTTTTAATGTAGTAATCAGGTTTTGTTTTGTTTTTTTAACTCTTTTTCTGTGTTTTTCTTTATCTTTTTAGGCCTGGATGCAGAACAAAGTTCCAATTCCTGCCCCAAATGAGGTACTAAATGACAGAAAAGAGGATATTAAACTTGAAGAAAAGAAAAAGACACAAGCAGAAATAGAGCAAGAAATGGCAACATTGCAGTACACTAACCCACAGCTTTTGGAGGTATGTGAGAAAGCCTCAGGTTTTCTTCATGTTTAACAATCAAGTGATATTCCTCTTTCTTTTATGGTGTCTTGTGAATATAAAAGTCAAAAGAGGGGAAGGAGGGAAGAAATTAATAAAATAGAGTATTATTATTACATAATGTTTAAGTCCAACCAACCATCTGTAAAGCATTTTAAAGTTAGTGTGTGTACCATTTCTAAATCTCAGTTTTTTTGTCAGAGAAGTTTATTGTGCTATTTACTTACTCAGTTGAACTTACTCAGTTGAACAGGTTTGTGAATTTCTGGCAAAATAGAACATTCCTTCTTATATTTAAACTTTTTTTCCTACGACATATCAGGAAAGATAAGGTAGTATATTAGTTTTACTTGTTTCCCTTACTCAGATGAATATAGGTCTATTTTTCCCACTAGCTAAATGAAAGGCAATCATTTTAAATTTTAATTAAAAAACAAATAAGTTTTAATTGATAGCTTTCGTTTTTACATCACCTACATTGCTCATGCTATCTCTCCCCCACCCCTTTCCAGAGAGCCATCCCTTATCATAAAGAAATTTTAAAAGAATGAAAAAGAAACAAAAGCTAGCTAATATAGCGAAAAAGGTCTTATATGTGGTATCCCACAGTCGTTTCTGCAAAGTATTCTATCTAAATTAATTTTGGAAGCCTGAGTGGTACTAATATTGGGGATTTCACAAATATTACTTTTTTTTTTTCCTGGAAAAAGGGACAGCAAGTCTTGCCATTCCTTTTACAAAGACTTTAAGGAATCAAGAAATGTATAAAATGAGAGTCTTTGTTCTAGAGAAGCTTATTTAACCAGTATTGTTACTATTAAATGCTATAGACTTGTTTGATGATTATGATTTTTTGGTCTTCTTTAATAGCAACTCAAAATTGAAAGACTTGCACAGAAACAAGCTGAACAAGTCCAACCACCTCCACCACCAGGGGGTCCTCTACTTGGACCCCAGCCTTTTCCAGGACAAGGTCCAATGTCTCAGATTCCTCAAGGTTTTCAGCAGCCTCATCCACCCCAACAGATGCCAATGAACATGGCTCAAATGGGACCCCCTGGTCCACAAGGACAGTTCAGACCTCCCGGACCTCAGGGGCAGATGGGACCACAAGGTCCTCCATTGCATCAGGGAGGTGCTGGTCCTCAAGGATTCATGGGACCACAAGGACCTCCAGGGCCCCAAGGCCCACCACAAGGACTCCCAAGGCCTCAGGATATGCATGGCCACCAAGGAATGCAAAGACATGCTGGACCGCATGGCCCAATGGGACCTCAAGGACCACCTGGGCCACAGGGTAGTTCTGGGCCACAGGGTCCCATGGGCCCCCAAGGTCCACCTGGGCCACAAAGTCATTTGGGCCCCCAAGGTCCACCTGGTCCCCAAGGTCATTTAGGCCCTCAGGGTCCACCTGGTACTCAAGGGATGCAAGGACCACCTGGTCCAAGAGGGATGCAGGGACCTCCTCATCCCCATGGAATGCAAGGAGGACCAGGCTCTCAGGGGATGCAGGGTCCTGTGTCCCAAGGGCCTCTAATGGGTCTGAATCCAAGAGGAATGCAGGGACCTCCAGGTCCCCGAGATAACCAAGGACCTGCTCCACAAGGGATGATGATGGGGCACCCACCTCAAGAAATGAGAGGACCTCACCCACCAAGTGGACTACTGGGACATGGTCCTCAGGAGATGAGAGGTCCTCAGGAAATGAGAGGCATGCAGGGGCCTCCACCGCAAGGGTCAATGCTGGGGCCTCCCCAGGAAATGCGTGGGCCTCCAGGTTCACAGGGACAGCAAGGGCCACCCCAGGGTTCTATGGGACCTCCACCCCAGGGTGGCATGCAGGGTCCCCCAGGACCTCAAGGACAGCAGAACCCTTCAAGAGGGCCTCATCCTTCTCAAGGCCCATTACCGTTCCAGCAGCAGAAAACACCCCTTTTAGGTGATGGTCCACGCGCACCCTTTAATCAGGTATTTCTAGGTTACACTTTATATAGGCATTTGCACATTAAGAATATATATTCATACTGCATAGGCCCATATGATCATATTATACAGAGCTAAAAGGGAAGGGACCTTATCTATATCATTTAGTCTAACACGTATATTTTATAAATGATAAAACCTATGCCCAGAGAACTATTTGCCCATGGTCACACATATAGTAAATAAGTAGCAGAGGTCGCTTCAGTCTCAAGTCCACATTAAAGTGTAGGAGAGCTGAAACTTAGAATGATTTGAACATTACAGAACATGAAAAAAACAAAAGAACCGATTGGTGAATGGACAAAAATGGTGGAAGTGTATGTAGTTTAGCATAATAGCATTGAGACTGGAAAGCCATATTTTAGACAAGTTTATATTATCCTCTAGTAATCTCTTTAATCCTTTTATAAAGTATAAACTACTTGTAATAGAGTTGTAACATGCAATAGTGACAAAGTGAACTAAAAGAGATCAGTTATCAATTTTCAATGTACATTAAAAAAGATAACTCCTTTATCATTGATGCCTGAATGGAAAATTGTTTTTGTTTTAAGTTTTCCATCTATTTTAAGTCTTCTCTTTAACATACTGAGATGTTTAGGGGGAAGGGGGATAGAAGGTAAGACAGGAAGAGGTTTACTTTGGTGATGTTATAGAGAGAAAATAATGTTGGAATGTCCCTTTTTTTTTAACTAAATACGGTGGTATTTGAGGTATATTATTTTCTTCAGTGTTTGATGGGTTTGCAAATGAGAATCATTTTCAGACCTGTGAAAGAAGTGAAAATTAATTTGATTCTTTGGGTTCAAGAGCTTAATTTATTCTGAAATGATGGTTCTTTGGAATATTTCTTAGTCCACATATGCAAATACTTTGCAGTGGGATTTGGGGAAAGAGAATATGTTAATAAAAATAACTTCATTTTTTAATAAACTCTGCATATAAAACTCATTATATATGTATATACACACATATAGATAAAATAAATACAAAAAATGAGCTTACCAACCTTTTTAGATAAACGTATTATATATTTTGGTAAGCTCATTATATGTATATAATGAGTTTACCAACCTTTTAGGTAAACTGCCATCAACCTTTGGGTGTTTTTAGTGAGCAGTCCAAATAATTTTCACTGTTCTTTCCATACTTAATATAAATTGATTGATTATGCTTGATCTTGTTTTCAAATTTTTCTAAAATTCTTAACTTTCTTGCTGGCTTTTTTCTTTTGGGCTTAGTCTTATTTCTGAAAGAGGCCCTGGTAGTAATTTGCACTAAAACAGTTGCAAGTTTCACTAAAATTTAATTTTACTAAATAGGTATAATTGAGGTTTTATCTTCAATCCAAGGAAGAAAAATTTCCTATACAGTATTTTAAGCAAAGAAATCAAGAGAAGTAACAATATTTTCTTGAGAGAATTTAGAAATCACATTTCTAATAAAACTTAGCTATTGAAAAATTTGCAGAAAAAAATTAAGCTACAACAATAATGATTATTTCTCTTAAATTTTAGAGGTGAAAGTATAGTATATGCTTATTTTTTTGACTAGGCAGTGGGGTTAAGTGACTTGCCCAGGGTCACACAAATAGTAAGTGGCAAGTGTCTGAGGCCGAATTTGAACTCAGGTCCTCCTGACTCCAGGGCTGGTACTCTATCCACTGTACCACTTTGCTGCCCCCGAATATGCTTTTATTAAGGAGAATGGGCCATATTGCTCCTTTCACCTGGCCATCTGCATTGTGGGAGATTTCTTGCCTAAAGTTGGCTGGGGAAAGCTTTTGATTTTATCTTGGTCCGTAATTGAATTCTTAGCCCCACTGCCTCTACTTGTTTAGGATTTTCCAGTATGTGGACCAGATTAATCCTGGAACACACTGGAACTTTTCATATCAGTATTGTTTTCATTTTTATATTAATTGTATAAGAGTTCCTTTGTGATAAAAGTAACAGTGCTATGTTGGTAATTTAAGAGGTAATTTTATTAACTTAACAATTCATAGCACAATTATTCAGCCTTTAGTCATGACTATGTCCTTATATAACTAGAAGTAAAACAACATTGCCATTTTAATTTTTTTTCTTCTGGGCTAGTGCTTTGTTTTTATTTGTTGAATGAGTTTTTCAGGTTCATCTGATCCAAAGTTCTTGGGCTGAGTGTGAAGTTATTTATCTAATTATATATCTAATATACTCCCATTTTTCCCAAACTCACTTTCCATACCCCAGTGGCAAATGAGTTAAAGAAAGGTCTGAGGGGAAAATGTTCCATTAGGATTGAAGTCAGAACCAAAGGTTTAGGTAGAATAGATAAATCCTAGGAGATTTTAATATATCCTGAAGTATTAATGGTGGTACCTTTATTTGGAATGAGTAATAGAATGCCTGGTAAGGTAGAGAAGAAGAAGGAAGCAAAAGAAAAACAGAAAGGAGGAAGATTAGATCCTCATTTGTGGCATTTACCTGTTAGGTAGGATTATTTAAATATTTAGTACAAAAGGAGTTTGGAAGGAGAAAAACAAAAGTAAATACAGATTTGTAGATTCAAATTTTTTTGAAAGTGTGTATCTGTATAGCTGCTATATATAGTAATACAGAGTTTATAAGAAACAGATATTATTGTGCTATATTTTCTGATATCCATTTAAAATTTTGCCTGAAATAATTGAACTCATGAGTCTAAAGTACCTATATTTCCGGTTGTCATTGTTTCCTATAGTGAATATGTAGAATGTCATTAATTTTGAGATCTTTTTAAATGAAAGTTTACCTTAATGTCTTTTGCTAAGTATTTCCCAATGTATACTTTGGGACCACCTAATATTACTGTTCTGTTGCTTGGTGATGAAATTGTTATTCATGAAACACAAATCTGTGATTTCACTCCATTTAAAAAAAAATCTTTTCAGGAAGGACAGAACCCAGGCCCCCCACCCTTGATACCAGGACTAGGGCAGCAGGGATCACAAGGTCGAATCCCCCCTCTTAATCCGGGACAAGGACCTGGCCCTAATAAAGGTAAATATCTGGTTAGCTTAATAAAAGAGACCATACTCGACCACTTTGACAATAAGCAGAATTGAAAAATACTTGGTTCTTTGGTAAGTAAATAATAGTATGAACATTTGAGCCTTCTAGAAAAGAAACAGGACAGCCATTTGAGGTAATTGCTATGTCCAGTTTTGTTTTCTTATTAAATTTGACTTAGTATATCAAAAAAATAATTTGGCTCTTCATCACTAGGAGTTAGGAACTTTGAAATCACTTGTTAACCATAGTTAGCCAGGTTGATGTTCACAGTGTTCATGGTCTTATTTATTCAGGAGAGGCAGCTTGGCAGCTGGATAGAGTGCTGGACTTGGAATCACAAAGAACTGCATTCAGATCCTGTGTCTGACACACAGCCAGGCTGTGTGACCGTGGCAAGACACTTAACTTGTCAGAATCTCAGTTTCCTCATCTTTAAAAATGGGGACAATTTCTTTAGTAACCTACTTCGCAGAGTTATGAGGTTCAAATGAGATGTAAAGCTGTCTGCAAACTTTAAAACAATACATAAATATTAGTTATTGTTGCTCATTTCTTTTGAAAGTTTACGGTCTTTAAAAGTGGTTTGCGTTCTAGATGATCATAAATGAGTGCTTTTAGTCACTTTTGGAGGACCAGAGTGAGCGTTAAAGTTCAGATTTTTTCCATGGAGAGAAAAAACCAGAAGTTTCAACTGACTTTTAAAAATAATTGTGTCAGTTGTTGGATCTCAAAGTGATAAATTTATCTCTTTGAACTGTAATTGAAAATGAGAAAATAAGCAACAGTGTCAGCATTATGCATTATATTTATGAAGTTTGAAATTTTATAAGGGGAATTATAGGCAAAATTATGTCAAATTATATTCAATATTTGAAGTAAGAGCACATGGGAATCATAATTATAGATTTGGAAAGGACTTTGAAAAAGGCTGTCTGGGTCAGCCCCTGTCTTTAGGCAAGTAAATATGTAATGGTTTCCTTAAAGACCTCCTAGGATGGTGAATATGTAACTTACATTAGTGGTCATTTTTATGTTTTATCTTTCAGTGATGATGAAAAGTTAAGCCATGACATAGTGTTTCACCAGTAGTGATAAAAAAATTTGCAGACATTTTTTAAGTAAAGAGAGTAACTTTATTAAATGTATAAAGTGTTAAGATCATTGAGTAGTCAGAATTCAGGGGAAAAGTAAGTAATGGAGTGGTATCTAAGTCTGTATTCAATCCTAACAAGAGGTACCTAAAATAGATAATTTTGGTGATTACTTTGTAATTTATTTACAAAGAATTTTTCACAATTCTTTTAAACATTTTATTAGATAAACCCTATACCAATTAGAGATATGTTACCCCCATTTTACCAGATGTAGAAACAAAGGAGTGGTCCAAAGACTTCAGTGTCCTCACTAACATTAGAATCCCCAAATCCATTGTGATCTCTAGAATTTTTTAATTTGAAGTACTTTAAAATTTATAGATTTATATACTTATTTTAGGCATAAAGTGTGGATAGAGAAAAATTGTTAGAGGAATTTATCTTAATCCCATCAGCATGGAAGGTAATAGTTAAAGTTATAAAGAAGGAAGTTGGCCAAGAGGGAAAATATTGAAGAAAAGATTCAAAAGCCAAGCCTTTAAATTATTGGGACCTCCATTGAGGAAGAGTTTTGCCCAGAGGTGGAGCCATCACCAAACTGAGAGCCCCTCCTCTCTCTTCCTCTCCCCTACCCTTTGTGTCTGTCTCCATCTGTTTCCTTTTCCTTCTCTTTCTCTTTCTCTCTCTTTCTCTCTCCCTCTTTCCCTCTCTCTCTCCCTCTCTCTCTCTCTCTGTCTCTTTTTCTCTCTCCCTCCTCTCTTTCTCCTCCCAGGGACCAAAGGGAGAAGGGAGAGCCGAGAAAATGGCCCCGCCATCCCCTACTGGATTAATCAACGCCGCCGCCCCCATCACCGGTGGCCACGTCCCTTCTAATTTGTAGTGGTGGGTTTGTTTCCTTGGAGGAACAGGGTGTGGGTGAGACTGAATATTTTTTAAACAGATAGGAATGATAGGAGGAATAATACCCATTAGGTAAGTCATAGCAGTATGCCTTGAACCTCCTCAGGTAAAAAGGTCTGCTCTGTCAGAGGCTGCACCAAGTTCAAGAATCACAAGGTGAGAGAAGCTGTTTTTTAGCTGCATCTGTTTGAAGAATGTGGGCCAAGTTGAAATATAGGTATAGGATGTTTGACAGTCAGCTGAATGATTGATGAGGGTACTTCTTTCTCAGGTATCTTCCTGAGCAAAGATGGCCTAGAAATGATCTAGTTAATGAAACTTAAAAGGAAGATGAGACACAATAATGAAAAGGTTATAAAGGAAGGAGATATTTCTCTAAATGTTGTCTTTGTCCTAAGAACCGTAAGTTTTCTTATATGTTCAGTTTTTTGGAGGGGAAGAAAAATGAAAGAAAAGAAAGTGATAGAGGGATATTGAAATAAGAACTAGAACCAGTCTTAAATGCATGAGAGAAAAACTTTGGGCATGTGACAATCTTAAATTGTATCCTTTTACTTTTTCAACAGTGCTTCAATTTCTGTATGTGTTGACAGAATTTTATATAATGAAGCTGTATGTTCAACAGCTGAGGAAATAACACATTGAAAAAATTAGTAATTATAATTGTAAATATGCCACAGCAAATCTAATCAGCCACATAATATTTTTATTCATTACTTTGTATAAATTTTAAAATGTACTCAAATATTTTGAGAAGAGCCCAGTTTATGAACTTTTATTTCTGGGGGAAAATATGAATTTGGAGATATTGGTAGAATAACATCATCTAGTAGAAATGGCTTAAGAATGTGGTTCTGTAAATAATGAAGTGTAATGTAGGGGCGATTACTAAAGTCAACAAATACCTAGTAGAAAGAATCTCAGTTCTCAAATAATCCATTGTATTTTAGGAAAAAATCTGTTTTGTAAGAAACATACAGGAAAAAAAATCTGTATGTGCCTTTTTTTTTAAGTCATTGAATTAAGTTATATTGAGCTATTGAATGAAGAGTTAAGTTGAGTTAAAGTAGTAATACTGGTGACAATAGCTTGCTCTTGGTCACATATTGCTGGTATGCTTTCTTAGGCTGTAATATTAAGTGCACAGTTGAATTCTTGGTCTTTTGCTTCTGGCATGCACTATGAATTCTGCCTACTGTCACTTTACGAGCTTGTCTCTGACATATGGATCATTGTTTACTGGCCTTAAGGAAAACACTCTAGCTATTACTGAAAAGATTGGGAGCAATGACATATATCTTCTAAGGACTCTGATAGAACAAAGAGAAATAATTTGATAAATGAAAGATACTGACTATATTTTATAACTTTTTACTTATCTGACAATGAGAAATTTCTTAGAACATTTTCTAGAAGACATCATAAAGGTCAGATGTGTTCTCCTTTAGGTGATTCTCGTGGCCCTCCAAACCATCACATGGGCCCAATGTCAGAGAGGAGGCATGATCAGAACAGTGGTCCAGATCATGGTCCTGAGAGAGGGCCATTCCGAGCTGGCCAGGACTGTAGGGGTCCCCCTGATAGACGTGGGCCTCACCCTGATTTTCCTGATGATTTCAACCGACCAGATGACTTTCACCCTGACAAGCGATTTGGCCATAGATTACGTGAATTTGAGGGAAGAGGAGGACCTTTGCCACAGGAAGAGAAATGGAGGCGAGGAGGCCCAGGTCCTCCATATCCTCCAGATCACCGCGAATTCAATGAGGGAGATGGCCGGGGAGCAAATCGTGGCCCCCCAGGTGCTTGGGAAGGACGAAGACCTGCAGATGAGAGATTTCCCAGAGATCCAGATGACCCACGTTTTAGAGGAAGGCGGGAAGAAAGGTAGGTGGGTTATGTTTGGAGGTCCAAGTTGGATTGACCTTCAGAGTTACTTAAAGCCACTTCCATATAAAATTTTGTTTTTCATTTTGCCTGGGGGCATCATTGGATTTGGAAACATTTTATTGAAGGGAAATTGTGAAGAGGCAGCACTATACTTAATAATGACCTTTTCTTTCCCCTTAGTTCCTCACACATTCGGGATAGTCTCCTGTCTTCACTGTTAAGCTTCCATATTTACTTCTTTTACTCTCAGAAGTCTTAGAAACTTAAGAGTTTCTCTTCAGCCTTTTTGCATCTTAGTGTATTTTTAAAACTGGTAGAATTTTCCATATTACTCATTTGTTTAATACTGGCACAAATATTTATATCTTACATAGTTATATACTTATATAGTTTTTTTAATAATTATTTTATTTATTTTTTTGCTTTTTTGGTAAGGTATTCAGGGTTAAGTGACTTGCCCAAGGTCACACAGCTAGTGTCAAGTGTCTGAGGCCAGATTTAAACTCAGGTCTTCCTGACTCCAAGGCCAGAGCTCTATCCACTGCATCACCTAGCTGCCCCTATACTTACATAGTTAACTGATTTGAGTTGCTCCTTTTCTTTTCCCTATATGGTAGGTTAAAGTGGTCAAAAATGTGAAAAACAGAGTGAGACATGTAAAAGTCAGTAACAGTAATAATTTAATAATTTGGAGAATCACCACTTTAAGTCTTTATTTGCAAAAAAATTCCTTTAAAAGAATCTGTATTATATTTTAGTATTTAAGTTTATTTGAACCCTGTTCAAAAAAAAAAGTACTCAAAAGAAAGCTTTTCTCTTTACATAACTTTTTTTGGGGTTTATGCCTTTGAAGTAATAAGTATATTACTTTAGTTAACAAGCATAATTCTCTTTTTGTTTTATAGCTTTAGAAGAGGAGGTGCACCCCAACGGCATGAGGGTCGGGGTCCCCCCAGAGGAAGGGAAGGTTTTCCTGGTCCTGAAGACTTTGGGCCAGAGGAAAATTTTGATGTATCAGATGAGGCTGCAAGGGGAAGAGATCTTAGAGGCCGAGGCCGAGGTACTCCAAGAGGTATGAGTCAAAGAGGAGAGGCCCTTGGAAACCTTTAAAAAGTGGCAGGATAAAGAAAGTTATTAAAGTCCTGGAAAATAATTTGTGCGTGTAGTATTTTAATAATTTTTTAATTGCATAGGAGGACGGAAGGGTTTACTTCCCACGCCGGATGAATTTCCTCGATTTGAAGGAGGACGGAAACCAGATTCATGGGATGCAAATAGAGAACCAGGTAAATAAATGAGAAATTGTGATTAGCATATAGTGACTGTAAACAGGAAATAATGTAAATGTCAATATATAACCTAACTACCTCCCTCTCCACAAATAGTTATCAGTTGCTTTTTCTCTAACTTTAATCCAAACCATTCTAGTGGTTTGATATGTGCATTAATTTTGTGACTTAACTGGAATTTCTTTGTGACACTACCTTTTTGTGTTCATTGTAAGATCCATCTACTTCTGCTCACTGTATTTTCCAAATCATGAAGCTCCAAGAATGTTTCTGTTCATTGATATATGTGACAGAGGATTTTATTCCATGACCAGGCCATGAGCATTTCCGGGATGGTCCACGTCCTGATCATCCTCCTCATGATGGGCATTCTCCTGCCAGCAGAGAACGCTCTTCCTCTCTCCAAGGCATGGATATGGCTTCTTTACCACCCCGAAAGCGTCCCTGGCATGATGGACCTGGAACATCTGACCATAGAGAAATGGAGGCTCCAGGTGGACCTACAGAGGATCGAGGCAAAGGTAAAAATTGCAATTTCAGATTCCTGGGGTTATATGAAATGGCCTTACTACCAGAGTTATAGTGACAGTTAATAATGTTTCAGGGAAATTCTGTCTCCAGGGTCACCATTCTCATTTCTAGAATGTGCTTTTGTTCCCTATTGTGCCTTCCCATCCATCAAAATATTTTATATGATACAAGCTCAAGTATAAATTTAATGTTTATTAACAAGCACTTATTAAGCACCTTCGATATGCTAGGTCCCATGTTAAGTGCTTTACAGATATTATCTCGTTTCATCATTTTAAATGTAGACCAGTGAGTGGAGGCCCCAAGTGGCCTTGCTGTGTCTAATGCTTACGACTTAACTTCTTTATAGGAACAAGCACTATTTCATTTCGTAGGCACTAATTTGGTGTATTGGGTATTTGGCAGCAGTAATCACTGAATTATAAAAGAAACTTTGGGATCAAGCTAACTAATAGGTGGATTATATGGTCTGACATATAGGTTGAAATACTTTTCATTGCCAAACTGTCACACATAGTGCTTAAAATTGCACTGTTAAAGATTCATTCATCCCTTTGGATCCTGATGGTTTATCAGTGTTACTCTTTCTTAGTTTCATTTGAAAGATTGTCATCCAGGTCATGCCTATTAACTCTGGGTATCCCCCAAGGCTCTTCCTGGACCCTTTTATACTATTTTGCTTGGTGATCTAATCAGCTCCTATAGATTCATTTATCTATACACATTTGGTTCTCAGATAACATTTTTTCATTAAATTTTATTTTCAGTTGCAGATTCTCTCAATCCCTCACCCACTCCCCTACCCACTGAAGTAAAAAATGCAAAACCCATTATAGATAGGAAGTCATGCAAAACAGATTTCTGTATTAGTTATGTTCTCCCCTTTCACACCCTAACCTGAAAGAGACAGAGAGACAGAAAGACAGAGAGAGACTGCATTGAGTCCTTCAGTTTTCTCTGTGGAGATGGATAGCACTTTTCATCATGAGCCCTTGGGAACTCTGATGTGTTATTGTGTTGATCAGTGTTGTTAGGTCTTTCACAGTTGATTATCTTTACAATATTGCTGTTACTGTGTCAATTGTTCTCCTTTCTGTTCCCTTCATATCAGTTCATGTAAGTATTCCCAGGTTTTTCTGAAATCCCCTTCATCACTTCTTACAGTACAAAAGTATTCCATTCCAGATCTATTTATCTAGCCCTAACCTCTCTCCTGACCTCTACCCTGGTGTACACCCTCATCACCTCATTCCTGGACTGTTGTAAGAGCCTTGTACTTGTTTTCCTTCTTTCAAGTTTCTCCACTCCAATACATTCTCCACTCATCTGTCAGTGCCTATGTGGTCATGTCACTCCACCCCCACCCTATCTCAATATTTAACTCATGGCTCTCTTATTACCTCCAGAATCAAATATAAAATCTTGTTTGGCTTTTAAGTCCTTCATAACTTGGCCTCTTGACCCTATGTCTTCACAGGCTGTCTCTTATGCCTAGAACTCTTTCTTTACTCATCTGTCACTTGGCTTCCCTCAAATCTCAGCTAATGCTCCACTTTCCCAGTTCTTTTTACTCTCATTCCCTTTTCTTTGAGACTACTGCCCAATTTATCCTGTATATTTATCTGTATTTGTTTGTACATAGTAGTTTGCATGTCGTCTCTCCCGTTAAACTGTGAGCTTCTTCAGAGCAGGGACTGTTTTCTTTGTATCTTCCCTGTAAGGCACTTAATAAATGCTTGTTTGAATGACTTTTTAATTAAACCTATTTTCAAAAATTTTAAAAATAAAAGAAACCCTGCTTAGAGAATGAAACACAAGACAGGGTACAGATGAAGGAGGGTACTAAAATGTCTGCTTCCTAATTTTTCCAAGGGCTAACTCTGAACATTCAGCTAATTCCAAATGCTATCATTTGGGTGAATTGTTTATCATAATCAGACTTATATAGTGTTTTGCAGTTTACAAAGCACTTTCCTTACAATCCTGAGAATATTTAATGTAAACGTTATCCTTGTTTTAGAGACAAGGAAACTGAAACAGACAAGTGACTTACCCCTGTTATGTAGTTACTAAGTAGCAGAGCTGGGACTTACACCCTGGCTATATAGCAAAATCAGATGAGAAATAAATTTACTGTTGTTTCAGGACGAGGAGGCCCAGGACCATCCCAGAGAGTGCCAAAATCTGGACGATCCAGTTCCTTGGACGGAGATCATCATGATGGATACCACAGAGATGAACCTTATGGGGGTCCTCAAAGCAGTGGCACCCCTTCCAGAGGAGGAAGGAGTGGAAGTAACTGGGGGAGAGGAAATAACATGAACTCTGGCCCACCACGGCGAGGAGCATCAAGAGGTGGTGGAAGGGGTCGGTAGAAGAGGTTTTGGCTGGGAAACCCCCAGTCTTAACTGGACAGTATTTAAATAATTCTTGTGGACTCAAGAGAAATGAAAGGATTCCTGCACCACCACAGTACTGGTTGGATTCGTCACTGGGCTATTTTTATACCCAGTATCTCCCAATACGGTCTTCTAGATCAATAGACTGCTACTGGCTACATCATGGTAGCTGGTTTTCTGTTTTGTCCTGTCCACCTTTTTTCCCACCCCTGCATTGTTTTGTGAAGATAAAGCTGGAATCTTTTTTTTTTTTTTTAGTGTTGTGAGACATGGAGCACCTCCACAAATTTGAGTTCATGTCTAATTGGAAACTTGTTTCTATATGTACAGTTTGTCAGAAAAAAAAAAGTTAAGTTGTTTTTGTATGAATACAGAATGTGATTTGCGTAAGAATTAACACAACAATCATTGTGTCATGATTTTTATTTACAACTACAGTTGTGAAATACATGCCTTAACGAAACCCTTAACTTCTACAATATATTTCAATATCCCCAACCTTGTTAATTAACTCTGTTGAGTTGTTAAAGAAATTCTGTTAGTGGAATAGTAAATACTCCAAATTGAAGTTTGGTTATGATACCATGTGAGGCTGACATGCCAGATTGATTATCCTTCCATCATCTAAACTTCTAAGAATTGATTATGAATTCATTTGAAGTCAGAAACTCCTTACCATATAATAATGTTATGTACGGTGATCTATTAAAGTATCCTCCAAATGGAAATGAATTGATCACTATATATTAATAGTCTTTCTTTCCTGGTGCCAGCCCTAACACTGCTCTCCAGGAAAAGGTGGTCACTTTCTGAATTTCATGACCCAGTTATCTAATTCTAGAGCTTATGAGCCTGCTTGGTGGGTGAGTTCTTTTCTACTCACCACCTGAGGCAGAGGTAAGGTAGAAGCTACTTACATGTGGACCACTCATGACACCACAACCAGAAAAACACTGATAGTACCAATAACAACTGAGAGCATTTCTTTGAACTGTTATTGTATTTTTACCACTTAAAAGAAATTGTCATTTAAATTTTTTTTACCTTGTTTTTCATAAAAGTTGTAAAGCATCCCTTTTTAAGAACTGTCTTCTCCATCAACACATATTCTTGTAGCTTGTAAATTATAGTTTGAGAAGACTTTTTTCACATAGGCCATTGTAGGAAACTTCCTTCTTCTACCCCTAAACCAATGAATGTTCCATCTCATAAACCAGAAACAGAAAATACCTATTGAGAATACCTTGAAAATTCAGTACTGAACATAGTGTGTGTGTGTGTGTGTGTATATATGGAAGGAATTTGTTATAAATATACTTATCTATAAATGATGCCGCTCTTCTCCTTCCCCACAAAAGCACTCATTATACTAAAATATCCTTTAATTACCAGCACAGGCTTTCCTCTTAAGTGGTAGTACCTGGGTAACAGTAAGCACTGACAGGAGTTTCACCATAGTATCATTATAACCAAATAAGTCATGAACGAGAGTTATGGATAATTGTGTGTTTCAAAAGAAAAACCATTATGCTGCTTACATTAATTTTTTACTTCATATAACAGACCTTTGAGGTTAAGCAGAATAGTAAGTACTCTCTATTGGGTACAACTGTTTTGTGAGAATGATTAAGATTTGGACTTCAGTATATTGTGACTTTTCTCTAGATGGCAATTGATCCAAAGCATAGGCATAATTAAAACTTGTTTAGATCTCAAATTGTTGACAAGAAGTTATAAAGGAAACATGTTGAAACTGAAGAGTACTTTAGAAAGAAAAGTGGATCATCTTCAAAGTTTAGGTCTACTTTACTAAATATTTGGTTCAAAACATTTTTTCTCTTGTGTTGGCTATTTACTGCTAGAGCTAGAAAAGAGGCAAGGAAAGGCATCAAACTGCCTCTCCAATAGTTGAATCTAGGCAATTTGGTATGAGACAACCTGGAGCAGAAAAGTCAATTCAAGACTCTTGGCAAAATTTTGTCCAGAGAGTAAATCAAGAGGTCAGTTTAGCTGCTTCATTTAAAGGACCCAGGACCAAGTAAAATTACTTTTTATTTAACCTCCACCACCTATTGGAAAACTAGCTAATATCTGGCAGTATTAACTTTTTATGCCCTGAAACAAAATTCAAGAAATAATTTATCATTTGGACCCGGAACCTTAGCCATTATCTAGTCTAGAGCTCTCTCAATCTTTTTTGGTATCAAGGACCCTCTGTTGGTCTGATAAAGCCTAGGGACTCTACAGAATCATGTTTTCAAATGCATAAAGTACACTGGATTATAAAGGAAACCAATTCTACTGAAGTAGCTTTCAGATTATTTTAAAAGCAAGTTCATGGATTAAGAAAGCCTGACTAGTTGAGGGCTCTCATTTTTACAAATAAGGTGACTGAGACCCAGAAAAGTTAAGTGATTTGCTCTAGGTCACAAGTTAGAATATCATTATTAAGGAATTCAAATTTATTTCCAAGGGTGTATCTGGGAATGGACAGGGTAAATAAGAAAAATCAAATTCTCCAAAGTTGAAAATCTAAAATTAATAATACTTTTTAGAAACCCAAGGGATAAAAAGGCTTATGTAAAACAAAAGTCATCAATAAAACCTTATTTTATAAAAAACAAAAGCTAAATGCTCCGACTTATACTAGGCTGTTCTCCACATTTATTAAAGCATTTCTTATAATTTTAAATTTTATGCCTTGATCAAAAGCAGTTAAAGCTGTCTATAATGAACTGCATTGTTGGCATGTTAACAATGATTCTATCCCTGAAGAATAACCCATTTATTAAATGCATAGAGATAATATGCATGGAATTCTCAACTGTAATGGTCACTGTACATATTAAATGATTTTTAATTTGTATAAAAAATAGGTCTTTAATGAGTATCTCAAGTCTCTATTAAATGCTGTTTTATATAGGACAAGCATTGGTCTTAAACCCTCTTAAATTAAGTCAACATCAACAAAGAAAACACTTGGCTTATAAATATTACATACTGTGAATATAAAATCTTTTTCAACCAGTCACACTATACTCATTCTAAAGAGACTGTTTACTATAATATAATGGATTAGACAAGACAAACATTCACACAAAATGCTCATTAAGGATTCTTCACAAGACAATCAGTGGTACCATGATTTGAAAGTCAAAATTTATTGTAACCCAATACATTAATACAGTATTACGATACTGTCTTTGAGAGGTAGATAGTTATCCCTATTTTAGAGATAGGGAAACTGAGGCAGAAAGTTATAACTTGCCCAAGTCACACAGAATATCCAAAGAATTTCAATGAGAATATTCATACCAGAGACGTAACCTGAGTATACCATAGATGGGACAAAGGCTATCATATACACCCTCTTAGCAATCAACATCTCCTGTACAAGAGTTGGCAACACTTCTGGGAATCAGGGAAATATGACAGCACACACCCAAGTCCAACTGCATGTAAATACTGCCCAGCATTTCTGTTCCTGAATTCAAGCTGCAATCAATGTTTCTAGTGCCACTTGGTGTACTATTAAGAGTACTGTATGTCATATCTAGCCTAAAATCACAATGGTGAAAGGCCAATTATTCAAACTGATAAAATCTTATTCAAGATTTGCAAATTTTTAATGTATAACAGTGTAACACTTATCTTTTGACTTTTGATAAGTTTTTCTATTTTTAATCAGTAGGCTCACAATCAAGTTTAAAGTGCAATATAAACTTGTAAATAAAAAAAGGATATTTAGTAAGATTGTTGAAACTTAGGAATAATAACCAAGAATGAGGCATTTGTCTACTAATGGAAACACCAACAGTACCTTACAATTTTTTGTCCATTTACAAAGTTGTATACTACAGATTAAAGACTAATAATAATATTTAAAAGTCTGACATTAGTTCTAACAGAAAATACATGTATGGTTTAACTAATTTACTCCCTTTGGACACAACATAAATTTTGTAGTAACTTGCTGTCCCAGCACCATGTAGCCGTCTGTATTCCCGGCTGATGTCTTTGAACTTGCCAAGATGACAGCTCCTCCTGTGGCAAGTTCTAGGCATCATGGCTGTACGCGGGCACATTTCTCCTTTATCACTGTGGCTTCCTGAAGCACAGACCGTTTTCCCTTAATCCTACAAGGCACTTTAACGGCAACTTCAGAAGAAACATTCAGGAGAAAATAGAGGTGAATTACATAACTACAAATAAAATTCAGCTTTCAATATTAAAATTGCACGGACGTCTAAACTCACATTGTAAGGTTCAAAATCAGTTGTTTAAAACTATGAGTGAGGGAAAAAAAGGCTAGGGTTGGTTAAGGTATTGTGTGCTCAGGTAATTTTAAATGAAAGAAAAAAACGATGAGATTAAAGTAGAATAATACTCCCACCCAAACTAAACGAAAATAGAAACTGGCTAGTTGGATAAAAGCCCAAATGGAAGTCTTGGTCGTTTTCACCGAACTTAGTTTAGTACAATGAAAAGATAATCCATCCCCAAAAGCGATTCCGCAGGTGAAGTCAAAGGTCACCGGGAGAATATTCGTGGTTAATTCACACCGGAGGTGCCCAGGTCGAGCAGCGCTGCTGCGCGCCCCATTCCCGGGCGTCGGGCGCCGCGCGCCGCCGGCCCGGACGGGGCGGCCCTGGCCTTCCAAGCTCCTCGGCGCTCGGGGCCGCCGTCCTGTCCCCGCCGCAGTCTCGGGGTGCGCGCTCAGCAGGCCGGGCGGCTCACACGGGCAGGGTCCGGGCCAGGCCGCCGCACAGGCCCCCGAGCGCGTAGCGCAAGGCCGGGCCACTGCCCCAGGGCAGCAGGCCCAGCAGCGCTGCCAGCAGCGCGGCCACCTGCGAGGCGGCGCCGAGCGCCGTGAGCGCCGTGCTGCGCAGCCCCAGCGCCGCGTAGAGCGTGCCGCCCACCGCCGCCAGGTAGAGCAGCGCGCCCCGCGACGGCCGCTCCTCGCAGCGCAGCAGCCGCAGGCAGGCGGGGCCCCCGCGCAATAACGCGGCGGCCGCCAGCGCGAACACGGAGCCCAGCGACCAGAGCAGGGCGAACTTGCGGGCGCGGAGCAGCAGCATCGGCGCGTAGAGCGCGGCCAGCCCGAAGCAGAGCGCCGCCAACACCAGGCACACCCCGCTCGCTGACAGGCGCTGCCAGCGCGACAGGCTCGGCAGGCACGGCGGCCCTGGGCCCCGGTCGGGGTCCTCAGGCGGCAGCGCCGGCCCCCGCAGCCAGGCCCAGCCGAGGCCGCCCCGGCCCGGGAAGGGGTTCACTCGGCCCAGCCAGACTCCCACCGAGGACGTCCTCCCGGCCTCCGCCGCCTCCTTTCCCTCCGCGGGCAGCAGGGGGACGGTATCCGCCGAGCCGGCGCCTTTTGACTGGGCCAAGTATTCCTGCAGCTGCCGGTTGAGGTCCGCCATGGTAGAGGGGGCGGGAGTCGCCTGGAGTGCATCCGGGTCACCCGTAGTCGCCCACGCGAAGCCACCTAGTGAGTTTCGCCAGGGGGCGGGTACGTGCAAGGCAGGAAGGGCGGGGCCGGCAGCCGGGAGGCCGGAGAATGCTGGCATCCCTCCCCCTCCCTGTGATCTTTGGTCTAGCCACGCCCTGCTCTGCAAGGATGCTAGGGGATGTGATGTGATACATAAGGTCTGACGTGGGCACAAACTTTACACAAAATTGAGATGAGACCTGAGAGTTTGATTAGGGGTTGAGGGACCTACACGTCTTTAAAATGAATATTAATATGAAAAAGGTACAGTACTTTTGAAGGGCTTCCTCTTAGGAGTCCTGCCCTATGGTTTGATTAGGGTCTAGTGACACCCAGAAGATAAAGAGCTTTAGAAGGACAGACCAAAAATAATAGAAGGTACCTGTAATTCCAGAGAAGAATTCCATATTGAACTGGAAGTAAGTTTTACAGAAATTAAGTTTAAACCAATATGTAACCGCACACATATAGTAAGCAAAATATAGTAAAGTAAGCTCAAAATATATATGCTCTGATTATTGAAAGTTTTCAGATTTGCTTTCTGTCTCTCCACCCACCTCTTTGAGAAAGCAAGAAAAGCAAAACTCTCTTACAAACATGTCGAGTCAAGCAATACAAATATTCTCTATTTGCTGTGTCAAAAAAATATATATAGAATTCCACAGTCTGAGTGCCACCTTTCAGGAGTTGGGTAACAGGTTTCTTCTTGAGTCCTGTGGAATTGTGGTTGTTCTTTGAGTCATATTTTAAAAAGTAGAAAAGAACCAAATATGGTACTCTTCACAGCTGTAGTTGGGCGAATTCTCAACCAAACAAGTGATAGAAATATGAAAGAGAAAACAGAAAATTTCACATGCATGAAATTGAAAAACTTTTGCTCGAATAAAATCATTACAACTAGAATGAGAAGTGCTCATTAGGCAAAAAAATTTTCATCATATGTCTGATACTGGTTTAATATCCCAGAGCTATAGAGAACTAAAACCAATATACGTAATACTAAATGCAGTTCTTTAATAGATAATCAAAGATTGTGAATGGTCTCAAAAGAAGAATTACATACCATTAACAGTTATAATAAGGGAAATGCAAATCAAAACATTTGGCCTTATTTCACACCCAAGAAATTGGCAAAGATGACAAAACCAATTGGAATGGTTAATGCAGGAGGAGTGGTAAACATTAAAAATACTAATAATACACTGTTTCTGGAGCTTTGAATTGGTCCACACACTCTGTAAGTATGGAAAGAAAGTGACTGAAATGTCCATACCCTTTGACCTAGATATTCCCTGCTAAACATATTTCCCCAAGAGAGGTCAATGATTAAAAGGGCCCATAAACACCCAGATATTTATAGCAGCACTTTTTCTTTTTAGTGGGAAAGAATTGGAAACAAAGTAGATGCCTCTCTATTGGGAAACAACTAAATAAGTTCTGTTACATGAATGGAATACCACTGTACTGTAAGGAATGATGACTATTAAGAGTACAGAGAGGCATGGGAAAGCTCATATGAATTGATACAAAATAAAGTAAACAACCGGGAAAGCAATGTATATGATGAGTACAATAATATAAATAGAAAGAGCAGCAACAAAAGAAAAGGAGTGTTTTGAAATTATAATGACCAAGCTAAGTCTTCAAAAAAACAGATATGAGAATGAACTTTCCTCCCTACTTTGAAGAGACAGGGAACTGTGTGTGTGGAACACTGCGAATATTGGACAACTTGGCTATTTGTTGATTTTTTTAACTTAATTTTTTTTGGGGGGGGGAGGCAATTGGGGTTAAGTGACTTATCCAGGGTCACACAGCTTTAATGTAATTTTTTAAAAATTAAGATAGCTCTTTGGGGGTAGGGAGCATGGAGAGATATATTGAAAAATGAAAGTGATTTTTAAAATGTGAGCAATCCATTTTAAAAATGCAAAAAAAGAGTTCCTAATTGTTAGGGGGAAATAGCCCATATTTATCTAATTTTATCTTGAAGTCCACTAGCCATCCTGCTCAGTTTATTTCCAGCTCTGTCTCTCTATTATGCTCCAGCTCCCAACCAGTTGCCTTTCCTGGTTATCTTCCCTCCCTCCCTTCCTTCCCCCCCACCTTATGTCTCTCCTCCCCTATTAGAATGTGAGCTCCTAGAGAGCAAGGACTTTTTTTTTAAACCTCCCACATAGCCTGGCACAAAGCAAGCATTTAATAAATGCTCTATCATCTGTCCACCATAGAATTTCCAAGTAAGTTCCTCAGAAGCTTCACTGTCCAACCCATACGTTGAACAAAAATCACATACTTTTACAAGTTATTATCCAGCCTTTATTTGAATACTTCCAGGGAGGGATGAATTTACTACCTCAAGAGGCAGTCTATTCCACTTTTTAATATCCCTGGTTATTAGGAAGTTTTTCCTTACATTAACTGTCTTCAGCTTTCACCCAGTATTGACTAGTTTTGCCCTCTGAACAATTGTAAACCCTTTCCCACATAACAAATGTTATACTTCAAATGCTTAGGAACAGCTATGTCACCCAAGTTTTTTGTTTCTAGAGGTTAAGTGTCCTGAATTCCTTCAATCCAATATTGAGGCCCTTAATTTTTTTTTTTGCTTAGGCAGTCGGGGTTAAGTGATTTGCCCAGGGTCACACAAAACTAGTGTCAAGTGTCTGAGGCCAGATTTGTACTTAGGTCCTCCTGACTCCAAGGCCAGAGTTCTATCCAGTGAGCCACCTAGCTGCCCCAAGGCTCTTAATTTTTTGACTCAGCATAGTATAATGTAATGGTAAGAGTGCTGGATTTTCAGTCAAGACCTGGATTGAAATCCCATTTCTCCCATTTAATTCCTGCATGACCTTGGACAAATTGCTTCACCCCTCTAAGCCTTAGTTCCCTTATCTGTGAAATGATTGGACAAGATTTGCTTTGGGCTAGATGACCTTTAATTTCCTTTCTGGCTTTGAATTTATCTTTTTGTGACCTGACCATCCTGGTTTTCCTTTTAATGTCTTAGAACTTATTCAGGACTTTGCTAAAATGTGATAACCAAGAACTTAGCACAATATACCATATTGTGTTCTCAATACAGTAGAGTACTGTAAGGTTGTAATCTTCCTATCATATATTTACTCCTCTACTGAAAATCATACTCCGGTGCCTCCTTTTGGTATAGAGTGTCAAAGACTGTGCCAGGAGTTTGAGCACATACTCGGACAGCTCCTAATAATTTGGAGACTCTTAGTTGGGCAATGCCAAGTGTGGAAAAAGCTCTTCACAAAGGGTTGGCCAACAGTTAATGATGTTTCTCCACACCCTGCTAGCTAAGGTATGAGGAAGCTGCAGTGTGTATCCATTTAGGGAGTAGCCACATGGACACAATTATGGATCTTTTGAAGAACTGCTATATACTTCAAGTCACTTCAGTTTAACACATTAAGTACCTACTGTGTGCAAGGTTCTGTGGGGGCTGGAAATACAAAGACAAAAATTAAATAGTACCCAGCCTTAAGGAGCTTCTATTCTACTGTGGGTGGAGGTGGAGGTTACAGCATTTGGAGATCAGGAAAGGCCTTATGTAGTAGACTGAACCATGCTTTGAAGGAGGTAAGGAATTCTAAGAGGTAGAAGTGAGGAAGGAGTTCATTCCAGTCACAGGGAACCATCTGTATAAAGTTTCTGAAGTGAAAGATGGGTTATTGTATTCAGGGAGCAACAGCTAGTGCACCAGTGTGAAGGGGAGCAGTAAATCTGGAAAGACAGGTGGGAGTCGTGTTGTGGAAGGCTTTCAGTGCCAGGCTGAGGAGTTAGTATTTTGTCCTGGAGGCAGTAGGGAGCTGCTGGGGCTTTTCGAGGAGACCGACATGTCAGAGCTGTGCTTTAGGAGTGTCAAGTTGGCAACAGTGTGGAGGATGGGTTGGAAGGGAAAGGGACTTCAGTCGGGGAGGACTTTTTGGAGGCTATTGAAATTTTTCAGGCAAGAGGTGATCAGAGCCCGAAATAGGGCAGTGGCCACGTGGGTGAAAAGAACGGCGTGGATACAAGAGATGTTACGAGGTAGAGTTGAAAAGGATTGATGGGACCAAGGTGGAGAAGGAAGAGTCAGGATGGTTCTGAGGTTAGAAACCTGGTTGACTGAAAAGGTATCGGTACCCTTAGCAGAAATAGGAGAATTTGGCACAGTGGTGAATTTTGGGGGAAATATAATCAATGTCATTTTAGATATATTGAATTGGAGATAGTAATAGCTAAACACAGAAGAGAAATGTTCATCTTTGTCAGGTAGTTGCTTAGTCATTTCTGACTCTGTGACCTGGTGAACCACAGCATGCTAGTGCTGACCATGGGGTTTTCTTGGCAAAGATGCTGAAGCGGTCTGCCATTTTCTTCTCCAGTGGATTAAGTCAAACAGAAGTTAAGTGACTTTCCCAGGGTCACACAGCTCCTAAGTATCTGAAGCTGGATTTGAACTCAGGTCTTCCTGACTCCAGGCCCAGCACTGTATCTACTGAGCCACCTAGCGTGATCCATACCTTCTGAGTTCCAGTTTTGTATTTCTAATTGCTAGGTATATATATCTTCACCTGGATGTTCTATCTGCATGTTAAACTCAACCTGCACAAAAACTGAATTAATCAACTTCCCTTCAAAACTGCCTTTGTAATTACCTTTTCTAGTTCTATTAGTGACACCAACATTTTCCCAGTTATCACAGGCTTAAAACCTAAGACTTTTACTCTTCCCTCTTTTTCATTTCACCTTTCATACCATTTATCATGTCCTATCTATTCTGTCTCTGCAATCTCGCTGCCATCTGTTCCTTCCTCTGTACTTCATTGAAAGCATTCTAATTCACACACTCATTTCTTCTCTCATCGAGTGTAATAGTCTCCTAATTGATTCAAGTCTATCCCCTTCCCATCACTGAATTATAGGCACTCCTATGGAATGGCCCAGGGATTATCTGTGCTTGGCCCTGTGTTGGTGAACG